CATCTATCTATCATCTATCTATCATCTATCTATCATCTATCTATCATCTATCTATCATCTATCTATCTACTCATCCAAACACAATTAAATTCACTCTATCCAGGAGGAAATTTTTTAACAAGCTGTAATAAATTAGGAGTAACGACTTTCTACTTCTTACCTTTTTTAAAAATGTAATAAGTAGAAAGTACAGATAACTGTGTAAAATTTAAGAAGTAGAAGTAAAAAGTAGGCTGAAAAATAATTACTCAAGTAAACTACAGATACCCAAAAATTCTACTTAAGTACAGTAAAGAAGTATTTGTACTTAGTTACTTTACAACTCTGTCCTTTATAAATGTGACACCATTTAAAAGAAAAACAAACAGCCTTTCCAACGGTATCAGATTTATGCTCAAGAAGCATTGTTACAACAAAGAACTCTACCAAACACTAATTTACTTACTTTTTGTGCTAAGATTATAATCTTCTTTCTCTGACAGCTCTAGTCTTAGTGTTCTCTGTGTAGTGGGGTTCACACAGTAATACAAACAACTCARTGTCATTTGTGTTCCCTTTAAATAAACTGAGTGGCTGATAAAAAGCTTTAAGGCATTAAAGTAACTTGTTGTACTAATTAGGTTGAACAGTTCGAAACATGACTCTGATTAAAAATCTATATAAGGCTACAACGAATCTGTGCTTACTATTTTAATATACATTTATAATCTTTTATTTTCATGCTTTTTGGTTTATTCAATCACATGGATAAAATAAGTTCAGACATACTGGACATTAGACAACTTGTTTTAATTTAGGTTTCACAAGAACTGAAGCCTCCTGTCAGTAAGCTGTAAGGCTAACGACAAATGAATGTGTCTGTTTGTTGGTTTTGGTTTGAGGCGAGTACTTTTCTCACTGTGCTGTTTCTTTCCTCAGGAGTACAAGCGCAAGCAGCTTGAGGAGCAGCGTCAGTCCGAGCGGCTGCAGAGGCAGCTGCAGCAGGAGCATGCCTACCTGGTGTCTCTGCAGCAGCAGCAGCAGCAAGAGAAGAAGCCCCAGCTTTACCATTACAACAAAAACCTGGAGCCCAACAACAAACCTACCTGGGCCCGTGAGGTAACGTGTTAGCAGTGTTTGAAACATAACGTGTCACAGACCTGCTGCAGCGCTCTTTCATTGGTTTTACTCCAGGTGGAGGAGCGAAGTAAGCTAAACAGACAGGGTTCACCCAAAATCTGCACTACTGTTTCTGACACGGCCATCCAGTCTCGCTCTGACTCAGTCAGCCAGTCAGGAATGGTCCAGTCGGCACAGACCCCTCCCATGCAGAGACCAGTGGAACCTCAAGGAGGTCAGGGGAAGGTGGGTTTTTCCAGGAGTTTCTAATTTACTCAGGAAAACTAACCAGAACATGCAAATGCTGATGCTTTTGTCCCCAACGCTTCAACTGTTTTGACTTTTAACAGTTTTATTTATTTATTCAGACCTTCTCTTTTTTCCCGTTTTTCCTTTCCATCTTTCTGTTGTTGCTTTTCTTTGGTGATGCTTGTTGAAAAACAAAACGATACACTTTGGCTCTGCATATCATTCTTCTGGACTTTGGCCTACTTCTCGTGCTCTTCCTCCCACTCGGCTCCTCTTCCCTCCCGGTGTGCTCCTGCTCCTCTGCAGTTCCAGATGGCTCACTTGGTTCCGCTGAAGCCTTACGCTGCCCCTGTCCCTCGCTCTCAGTCCCTCTGTGACCAGCCCACTAAGAACATGTCCGCCTTCCCCACCCAGGATCCCTCCCTCAACCCCACACCCCGCCCTGTCCATTCCAGGGAGCTTGTGCGCCAGAACTCGGACCCCACCTCCGAAACCCCGGGACCACAAGGGCTTCAGATGAGGGAGGATCGTGGCCCTTGGATCCGCCTGCCCGATGTTGAGCTCCCACCTAAGGTAAAGATCCATTGTCTGGTTTTAAGGAGCCGTGTGCACAAATCAGCAGCAACTTTCATCAATAACAGCTTTTCTAAGCTAATTCTGGTGTTGGTGTCCTCAGATTCCCCAGAGGACTGCATCTATTGCCACAGCTCTCAACACCAACCTTACCTCTGGCATTAGGCACCCAGTAAGAGCCAGGTACTGACCACAGCTAAGTGTTTGAATAATAACATTCATATTTTAAACAATGATTAGTAGTCCTAACATCTTGATCCTCATGGCAGCAATCCAGATCTCAGCCGCAACGATCGCTGGGAGAGAGGAGACAGCATGAGCATCATTTCCAATCTGCCCCAGACGGGCTCCCTGGAGAGGCACCGTATCCTCAGTGAGTCCTTCTTCCACAACAGATGGTCTTTGCAGGAAGTTTTTATTTCAGAATAATAACATCACTCTATGATTTTTATTTTTCAGGTTCCTCCAAAATGGAATCACCCATTCTCTCCCACGAGAGTCGTCACAAGCCAGGAGAGTCTCGGACCTCTTCTCGGCCCGGGCGCCCCGCTGTGAGTTACACATTTCAAATCCAATCTTTTGGCAGTGAGATCAACTAACTGTTCCTACTGTACATCTATTTTGATTTCAAAGGTACCTGGTGTTTAAAGTAAAAACATTTTCACCTATGCACTCCTTTCTATTAATTTAGCTTCAATTTTACAACTGTAACATGTCATGTTGACTTGAAGGTAGAAAAACTCTTAATTTGGCTTTTTTATTTTTTTATTTTTGTCTTAGTAGAAGCAAACCCTTCTGCCTCATCTTATACTTGTGTTAAAGATAAAACAAAAGTTTGTTGGAAGTTAAGTGACAGTTAGTGGACATTAAAGAGACAGAAGAAGTAAGCACTGCATGCAGTAAAACACTCAGGCTTGAAATAAAAAGTAGCTTTAATGCAAATATGTTCCATGTTTGAATGAGAGAATGTCTTCACTTTAACTGATGGATGAAACCAACAATAAATATTGCTTGACTGGAAGGAGCAGAGTTTAAACATCATTGCTTTTACTCTTCATGTTTCTCCTCTTAACTCCCTGTTTCTTGACTTTACCTCAAATGTGCAGAGTTACAAGAGAGCTATAGGGGAGGTTAGTAACACTGTCTGTGTGTGATGTGAGGCTCTGTATTCATGCATGAATTTGACTCTTAAATGTTTGAAGAATTAATTGCACGCTCATCAGATTTCACTCAGTGGGTGCATCATGTTCTCCAAGTGAAACTCCTTATTTTAGTACCATTTGACTCTGTTGTAATTCATATTTCCACTACGTGGATGCTCTGCATTGTGAACAGTTTGATTCACCAACATCAGAGTTGTTTGAGTACCTTGTTCTGAACCCTCTCTGTCAGATGTTTTTGATCGTCTTCAAAAGTTGTTTTGCATTTATCACTGCCTTGCTTTTTGTTACTGTGTTTATTTAATCGCTGAGAATTAAGTTTCAAAGAGTTCACTCTCAGAGTAAACGGTGTCGTTGCAGGACCACGGCCTTTACGCCAAGGAGCGTGCTGAGGAGCCACCAAGGCCCCCTGTCAAGGCCAACGATTACTCCTCCTCCTCAGAGAGCAGTGAGAGCAGYGAGGAGAGCGAGAGTGGCGAAGGAGCAGAGGAGGAGGAAAGCCCAACGGATCGGTAATGCTCCACTTTAAAAAACTCAGACTAATCAGGAAGCAACCAACTGAAAATGCTCCTTTTTATGACTTCACTTAGTCTAAGATAAAAAAAAATAAAAAACTCACATTTTTCCCATTTCAGTAACAAAACTTACAGACTACATCTTAAATGCCCTGTTTGTTTCAGTCACAAGGATGCAGACACTGATTCAGTCAACACCATGGTGGTTCATGAAGACGAGGGCGAGGTGGGAGAAGGAGAGCAGGCTGGGGGTTACGGGGATCAGACCATGCTGGTGCAGAGAGTGAGTCACCTCTAATCATGTTTAAAATGCATTGATGTCCTGGAAAAATTAACACACTACATCACGACTAATGTTATAGAACAGGAAGATGAGTTCACTTGGTGTTTTGTGTTGATAGATGTTTTAAATGTCCTTGTATTGAAAAACAATCAACAGTTTTAGCAAAATGTCCTCCTCTGAAAAGCTGCCCAGCTGCTTTAATTTCCAAAGGTCATAAATATTTATTCATTTGTTCCTTTATTTCMATTAGAGTTGGGCAGAAAAGAGTCTGAATCAAATGTTTGAACACCTTGTGACCATCTGTACATTAGGAAAATGTCTTGAGCAGCTTTTTTTTTAACTTAAAATGTACTTTTAAAGTGTGATGAATTCACCTCCTCGAATAACGGTCTTTAGAAGAAGCTTTATCTCTTCAAAAAGATATTTTCATTCTGTCTACAGAAAGCTGTAACTGATATTAATGAGTCCACACCCTGTTGGAACATGCATGTTTATTAAGACAGAAAAAATATTCTACTCCTAAGTTGTTTTTTGTTTTTAATGAAAGTCGTCTTTCTAGAGTGATCTGAAAGGGTTAAAAGTAGATTTTAGCTTCTCTCTCAGCAACAGTGCAGATGTTTGTCTGAATGGTTGTTTTGTTTTGCAGGACTTTATTTGAGCTGCTTTATTTTGTCCTTTGAAAACAGTTGCTGGCCTTCTACATTAGTTATAATTTGTTCTACTTTCAAAATAAATGCTGTTTTTTTACCCTTTCCTCCCTCGTTGTAGCTAAATGCTAGGACAGGTTGTAGGAGTTGTTCCTAAAAKGCTTCCTGTTGCACAGAGAGTGATTTTAAAATATTATTGCTGGTCTACAAAGCACTAAAACTGGGTCCAAAATACATCTCTGATTTTCTGCTGCACTRCTGAGACCTTTGTGGTCATCTGGATCAAATCTGCCCTCAGTCCCCAGAGTCRAAACATTCCAAACATCCAGATTCTACATTTAGCTTTTATACGCCAAATATGTGGAACAAACTCCCAGAGACCTGCAGGACGGCTCCAACTGAGCTCCTTTTTAAAATGAGGTTTAAAACTTTCCTGTTTCTACTGCTTTTGATTTAAACAAATGATTTTGTCCTGCTCTGGGTGTGTTCTCAGTGTATTCAGAGCCTGTTTTTAATTTCTAATGTTTCAAAATCATCCTATTCTTTGAGCATCTGYTTTTTATTATTATTATTTTGCACCTGTTACATCTTTGCTTTGTGAAGCACTTTGGGTTGCTCTGTTGCTAAAATCACCTCGTAAAGCTGCCGTATGTTGGTCACCTTAAAATGGAAGTTTCAGAGTGCACCTCGCCTTCAGCCACCCTCCAGCCAGACAGTTAGATTTCCAGATGAAGCATTTTTGAGATATTTTTGGAGACAAGCATGACAGCATACATTTTCTAGATGCCTCCTAATGAGTTGAAGAGAAGTGTCACCTTGACTGAGGTGTGTGTGTGTGTGTGTGTGTGTGTGTTTATGCATAAAGTGAAGCTTTCAAACAAACAGGATTAATTCTTCACAGCTGTCTGACAGCTCTGAGGTCCAGCTGTGACCCGGAGGGGACGGGACTGTCCAGTATTTATGTCACCATCTGGACTGGTCAGCTAACAGCTGAACTGAGCTTTTATTTCCTCTGGAAAAATCTAAATAAACCCATTTACCAATTGTATGTATGACAGGAGATTTTCAGAAATTATTSTTCAAAATATCTTAATCACAGGATAAAGTGAATAAAACAGTTTTACACGAGTATTTATTTGTCCTGCATACACTTTAATAAAACTAAAGATGTATATAACTGTGAAGGACATAATGGCCTGTATTAGTCAACATGGATTTAAATAAGAAACAGCTGTAGTTTCAGTTTTCTATTACGGCATTTTTTTTCTTTTAATATTGTTGCTTTTATTTTACCTTGTGTCCTAAATTACTGTGTTTTTTGTATGAAGCACTTTGGRGTTTTTAACATAAAAAGCAAAACAAAAAAGTACTCGTTTTGGAAAACCATTTTAGATCGTGTCATTCAAAAGTTTTACTCTTGAGTTACTAACAAAAAAAGATGTCTGAGGCACTTGCGGACATTTTGATGGTGCTCRACAGCTCGAAGTTAGAAACTGTTTATACTTATTTATACTTCTTCATGCTGACGGACAGCAGAGAGAGTTGTAGGAAAACCTTCACAGCTGCGTGCAGAAAGCTGGAGGCAGATTAGAAACATAAAAGATAYTAAACTGCTGCTTCTTATACAGAAATACTTCAAGTTTTATTGAGTTTGAAGCGGCTGCTGCTGCCAGCTGTGCACGGCACCCCCTGCCGCCYTTTAAGTTTACAGTGATGTCATCATTATGTAATACACATAACTGTCTGTGTGTGTGTGTTTATTGTACCTGAAAGACCCCAGAGAAAAGGAGCCACAATGGATACACCAACCTGCCAGATGTGGTGCAGCCTTCCCACTCCCCCACCGAGTCAGCCACTCACTCCTCTCCAGGAAAAGACTCCGTTTATGATGTAAGTTTTACCAAAAACATGAATTTAGGGTTGAGTTTTACACCGTTCAATACAACAGCATCACCAGTAGTTCAGATTTAGTCAGAAAAGCATAAAGAAAACACATTTTCCCACTGACTTGTTCAACACAAATGCGGTCTCTGCTCCACCAGTATCAGTCCAGAGGTTTGGTRAAGACCTCTGCCAAGTCGTCTTTCACCACGTTTGTGGATCTCGGCATGTACCAGTCACCAGGAGGAACCGGAGACAACATGTCCCTCAGCAGTGAGTCAGAAACTTCATGTTTTTAGTGCAACATCTGCTTAAAGTAAATATTCTGTTGGGTTTTATTGGAAATATTCTCCTTTCTGAAATATTTATCAGTAGCTTTAAAAAGACTTGTTTGTTTTAAAAATGACTTGAAAGAAAAGCGTGAAAGTATTTAGTCTGAAAAAGATGCTGATTTCACATTTCCCTACTAAAATAAGAGTCATTTGAAAGGAATAAAGAACAAAATTTTGTTACGACCTAAAGCRTGTGAAAATGTTAACTTTTAAAATGCATTTTTAAAAAGGAATAAAAGACTTTAAGTTGATATTTTAGTTTAGTTTGCCTTGATTAGTTTGTTTCCTCTGTGTGTAGGCTCCAGGTTTGAGCAGCTGAAAATGGAGGTAAGGAAAGGGTCCATGGTGAATGTCAATCCTACAAACACACGTCCTCCCAACGACACACCCGAGATCCGCAAATACAAGAAGAGGTTCAACTCTGAGATCCTGTGTGCCGCACTTTGGGGTGAGGATAGTCTTCATCTTTGTCACTACACTGTCTGGCCAAAAAATGGTCACCCCCTAACTAAACAAATAGTTAGGAGCTTCTTTTTTGTTTCACATGTTGAAAGACATGGAAGAAAGGCCGTACATTTAGAAGTTACTGATGGGTGCTGGTTTTGTGTCTCCAGGTGTGAACCTGTTGGTGGGCACAGAAAACGGTTTAAAGCTGTTGGACCGCAGCGGTCAGGGCAAAGTTTACCCCCTCATCAACTCCCGTAGGTTCCAACARATGGACGTCCTCGAGGGTCTCAACTTGCTCATCACCATATCAGGTAGAATATCTGCTACATCAGTTTAAAGATGTACATTTAGAACATCAGTACAAATGGTTCTGGTTACTTTGTGGTGCTTTAAAATCCCCTCATTTTTTCTAAGATTAGGAAAATAAAACACAAATTTATTTATACATCTGAATGAAAACATTTGAAGAAAGTCAGATCTGGTTAAGAAATGCTTAATTTAAAAAAGCCCTTTTTGTGGGAGTTAATGTTTTTATTGGATGAATAAGTGTCTCTAAAATATCTTTTCCACTCAAGATACAAAAACATATTTCTGTTCAAATTAAATTAAGATATCTAAATGGTTCAAGTACAGTTTTTTTACATTTAAATTAAAGTAGACTTTCTTTTCATCCATCAGTCTTAAACAGCAACATTTATCATCTCTGACTAATATACCCCCTGTATTTTATAAAGGCAAGAAAAACAAGGTCCGTGTTTACTACCTGGCGTGGCTGCGGAATAAGATCCTCCACAATGACCCTGAGGTGGAGAAGAAGCAGGGTTGGACCACTGTGGGGGAAATGGAGGGCTGTGTCCACTACAAAGTGGGTAAGTAGCAGATGGAAACCACTTATCAGTTCCACTCCAGAGAAGTTCTTATGAATACGTTTAGATCAGTAAATTATTGATTCAGGGTATCTAATGTCACATGKGTGCGTTGTTCTGTTTTAGTGAAATACGAGAGGATAAAGTTCCTGGTGATCGCTTTAAAGAACGCCGTGGAAGTTTACGCCTGGGCGCCCAAACCTTATCACAAATTCATGGCCTTCAAGGTGAGTCTTCCTTCTGTTAGCATTCCTGTTAGCTTCTCATGTTCTCTATGTCTCTAATCATCACCCTCTCCTCTTTAAAACAGTCGTTTGCAGACCTTCCACACCGACCCGTCCTGGTCGACCTGACCGTGGAAGAAGGTCARAGGCTGAAAGTCATCTATGGGTCCTGTGCTGGCTTCCACGCTATCGACGTGGACTCTGGAAACAACTACGACATTTATGTCCCTGTTCACGTGAGTTGTAATTCTGTCTGCAGCCGGGGGGGTCAAACTCATCTTCACCAAGGGCCACATGAGCTTTACGGTGGTCCTCAAGGGTTCAGTTGTTATGAACTTTAACGTTTCGCATTTAACTTCGCTATGACAGAGCACCGCTAACAAACAACTGAGCTCTACGTGGTATTTCCTGCAGAGAAACATCGTTTTAACATGTCTTATTATAAACACTGAAAGTACTATGTGTACAATTGACTGAATATGAAATAAATAATACAGAAATACTGTTAAACATGAAAGTAAGTTTTACTCACTGACAAAATGCTGTGCCTGCCACATTTGGCCCACAGGCCTAGAGTTTGACACATTTGGTCTACAGCRTTTGGAGAACAGTGAAAACCTGCAGAAGCTCACATCCTTCATGCTTTCATCTCAAACAGATCCAAAGCCAAGTGACCCCACATGCCATCGTGTTCCTGCCCAACTCSGACGGCATGGAGATGCTGCTTTGCTACGAGGACGAGGGCGTTTACGTCAACACATACGGACGCATCATAAAGGACGTGGTCCTGCAGTGGGGCGAGATGCCCACGTCTGTTGGTAYGACTCAAACCTGGCTGCGTTCTCACAAACAAGCATGTGAAGCTAACRTGAGCTTGTTTCTCTCTGCTCTGCAGCTCATATCTGCTCCAACCAGATCATGGGCTGGGGGGAAAAGGCCATCGAGATCCGGTCTGTAGAGACGGGCCACTTGGACGGCGTCTTCATGCACAAAAGAGCTCAGAGGCTGAAGTTCCTTTGTGAGAGAAACGACAAGGTAAAACAGATGCAGTGTGCATGATTCAGTAATGTTTTCAACCAAAGTTAAAAGTTTGATCATTGTTTTTGGTTTTATATCCTCTAAAACTAAATAGATCATTTKCTTATGTAACATATTTACTGCCAGTGGCTCTGAAAGACAACAGCCTCCCTGCAAAAGCATTTTAATTACTATCATGCTAATTAGAAGAAAAACAAATAGAAATTTGTCACTGGAGCTATTAGCAACCAGTAGGGGAGGAGGGGGTGTCACTATTCTTAAAGACATCACAGTATTTTACTAAAACCTGACACTCTCCTTCCTCCCATCCTGAAGTCAAGTTAAATTTCTGGATTATTTTCAGAGAATATTTGATTATTTCAGTGATTCCTCTGTTCTGTGAATTAAAACTGTCCTTGGTGTCTTGCGTGGCTCCTCAGGTGTTCTTCGCCTCGGTGCGATCCGGCGGCAGCAGCCAGGTGTACTTCATGACTCTGAACAGAAACTGCATCATGAACTGGTGAAGGAGCAGCCGCCTCTGGTCAGTGCCTGAAACCCCCAGCAGGGTCCAGAGAACCGAGCGCATCCGCAGAAGCTCACTTACCGCATGCACGCGACCGTGAACATCCCTCCTTACCCTCTACAGTTCCTCTCACACTTCCACACAACAAACACACACACACCTACCTGGCCCCACTCCAGCACACACTCCTGATGACAGTCACCCTGGAATCATCCTRAAAAATAGCTGAAGATTTTCAAAATGTCACGTTTTGATTTTGAAARGTGTAAATAATATATATAGTCCAGCTTGATTTACGTGGTGAACCTGTCTTTAGTTTTAACTAGTTCCTAATCGTGAAGCACGTTAACACACCTGGGTGGTTCTGCAGTGCGTTTTGACGAAGGCATTATTAAGCGATCTGTAAATAGAAGCTGAGTCTTTGATCCGAATCATCCTGGAGCCTTGTGTACAGCTGCCGTTTAAAAATGCTGAAGCGCTCGTCTACTGTGGCTCACGGACCTCGATTTGTTTGGGGTTCCCAGTTTTAGGAAGGATTTACTGCTCATGGTCAAATCTGAGCTGAATAACTTRAATCATTTCTTTATAATAGATAAGCAGAAGCTCTGCTCTCTGTTGTTTAGTCCTGAACATCTACTTATGTTGCAACTTTTAATCAAAAGCGTTAGATTTGATTTTAACACGAATAAATAATAAATCCAGCTGTAGTCTCATGAATGTCACATTTGATCTTATGGTGAAACTTCCTGTTTTTTCTATAGTTTAGGCAAAACCATGAATTATTTCATCAGATTCTTTTCATCTGTTTACAGAAATACAGTATGAATATTTATATGTAGTGATTCTGTGTTAGTATTAGCCTGCTGGTTTTCTTAATTTTACTGTAATTATATTGCCATAATATTACAATACATTCTCACGGAGGGAGTCACTGACGAGGGGAGGTGGTGTTTGTTAGAGATTATTAGCTGTCAGGAAGTGAGGATGTGATCTACTCTACTGTATTATATTTTAGTTCATAGACTGTTTTTGTTTGTGTGAGAGGTGTTTTGTCCCAGGAGGGTTGGTATTCATCCTGGGCCTGTAGAACTGTTTGACACGAGTGAAGCTACGCGCCGTCTCTTCTGAGACTCTGCAGAACTCACGAGACTTGATATATATTTTATATCTTCACATTCTGCCAAAGCTCACAGGACATCCTGGAAGATGAGGTGAATAAGGCCAAAGAAAGAAGAGGCAATATATTTAAGATGGATATGGAGACAATTAATCCCACATTTCACCAAACAAGGGTTTTATAAGTTCAGACCAAAATTTTAGTTTCTGTACCCATAAAGCAGAGTAGAAGCTTTATCTGAAAGAAAACCGATCAGTTTAAGCAGCTTTTAGTTTGGTGACACTTCAGAAGGTTCAGGTGATGTTTTAAACCTTCTTTGATAAAACCAGACAGCTGTCTTTTATTTTATTTATTTATTTTTTCTCCAGTCCTAAAAGCTTTTTAAAAACAACTCTTGTTTGTGATGAGTGGYTGAGTCTGCAGACGCTAACGAGAGCTTTTAAATAATCATAATGAAATTCATGTTCAGGGTAAAGATCAAGTTAAATGTGATTATAAATAGATATAAAACGTTTAAAAGTGAAATTATAAAGTTGTAAATGAAAAGCACTTTCACTTCAGTCAACATTTACAGATATAAATATAAATATATATAAATATATATATATCAAATACTTAAGTGTGCATGTAAGCCATTCAGATAATTTCTATAGTACTGTATCAAAAGTTGGTTTTAACGCAAACGAAAATGTCTTTGTTTTATTATTTCATGTGCCATGACATACACTACAGATTTCTTGATTACAATTCAGCAGGAGGTTTTTTTTTTGTTTATTATTAATCTGCCATCATGTTTACAGTTAAAGAAGTGCCTTGGAGTCAGGAAGCGGAGAGGTTTTAAAGCTGGGTTTGTGAGCCCCTCGTTTGTATCCCAACGTCCGGTGCCGGTGAAGTGCACTTAAACGACATCCAGAAAATCCCCGACAAGAAACTTTGAGATGCCTTTTTTGGCGCCGCAGATTAATGCCCCCGAAACGACACATTAACATATCTAATCAGTGGCAATAACAAAAAAAAAAAAAAAAAAAACGTTCATGAAATCTGACGGAACGTGTTCAAACTCCCAGCCAGCATAAAGAAAAGCCATCTGTAGAGAACTTACTTATGTGCTCATATTAAATCAAAGTGTGTGTGTGAGTGTGTGTTAATGATTCATACTGCACAGATACGATTATTATGCTTCTTCTTTATCGATGTTTGTGTGATCTCGTAGTGGGGAGAGTAGCTTGTTTTATTCTCAGAAACCTATTTTATAAAATATGTAAATTAGTCTAATGAGAAATAAAAGTGAATGTACATCTATAAAACAGGGTTTGTATTTAATCTAAGCACAATGTATTTTAAAGCAGAACGGTCGACGTGTAACCGAGCRCAGCCGAGAGACGGTATCTTTACTTTTCCCCTCATTCTGAGATGTGGAGCTTTAAATCGGTCTGAATGGTTGTCAGGGAGGAGCTGAGGGACATGTGGACGGTGTTGGAGGAGGTGTTTGAGTGAATTTCAGGTGGTTATAAAGAAAAGCGGCAGTGAATTGAGCAAATCATTCCCTGCAAAAGAGAAGTGCATTAAATCAGTGATTGAAAACATTAGTGTACGTAAGGAGAAATAAGAACAAAGTTAAGTCTTTTAAACGAATGTCTAAAAGCTAAAATCACAATCCTACAAGTATATCAACCAAGTATTTAATAAAATTCTAGTTTTAAGTTTAACAAGCGGGTCTAAATCTTAATTTAATGCAGCTGAGGCAAAGCATTCTTTGCATCCACACAGCAGACAGGATGTGGGCCAGGTCTGGCAATGATGGCACTGTTTGTAAGAAGGCATGCCACCACTGGCCCAGTTATGGTTTGGTTTACRTGGTGCTGGCCCACGCACAGACCACATCTGGGCCACCAAAGGACTGTCATTTTTTGTGGTATCTGGGCCAGAGCTGGGCCAGGCAAATGTGCTCTGAGTTTACAAATCAACTAAACTGTGAGCTCCAGTGATCTGGTTGTWGCTGCTGCTGATTAAGTTCATCCAGGCAGTAAATAAAAACAGCTGATTTAAAATTATTAGACCAAAGAATTGTTCTATGTCTAATTATTCATTGATTTTAACATTTTTTAAAAGAAATACAAGATTGTGCATTAAATTTTAACAATTACTATCCAACTGGAATTTTTAACAATTACTATCCAACTGGAGTGTTAATTCAATATAAAATACTTTAGTACTTGGTTGAAAATTCACATCAAATTACTTTGTTTGCTGTTAAAAACACAAATTTACCAATAAATGCTAGAATAAAAACACAGCAAATATAAAAAAAATGTTTTAGTGTAAAATAACTCATTTTAATTTGTGAAGTTGACTGATCAGCTTTAAGATCAAAATGTTTCCAGTTAAAACTTTTGTTTTCAATCCCAGATGAGTTTTTTTTCTTAAAGCACCTTAAGATGAGAAAGTTCTGCTTCAAGAGCCTTAAAAAACCGACCTGAGCCACAGGACCGGTCCTGGTCTCCGTCATCAGTGTGGCAGTAATAAAAACATCAGGTTTGATTCGAGTTAATCAGCAGGAGGCTTTCAGAGTTGTAGGTTGACAGAAAGGAGCAGAGAGACGACACCTCTGTTTTCTGAGCAATACGAATTTTTGAACAAATCCAAACCCTGACAGGTGGTGAAGAGATGTTGACTGGTTTGTGTTACAAAACCTTTCCCCCACTTCTTTGTGCTGAAAACAATCGACCAGTTGAGCTGATTGYTCTGAAGTCATGTCAGAAACTGCCTTTATGGTAAATAGATGATAATCCTGTGTTTTCAGTTCTGCTAAAAGTCGTGAAAGAATCAGGTTTGGTGGAGATCTTAATCATCAGGATGGTTTAGACAGAACTACAATATCCATTTATTTCTTTTTCAATAACTTGGTTTGTAACATTGTTGCGATGTTTTAATGCGCCCACATCGTGTCACCCGTCASAGGGTTCCTTCAGATTGTATTTCATAAACGTATAAACTTTAAAAAGATTGTGCTGAATGAATTCATGTCTTAATACAGGTTGTTTGAAAAAAATAAAATACATTGATCTCATTCTTCTTCTGAAAGTGTTTTTCTCTTCCCATCATGATGAACCTTTCTGTAGAACATCTGATTAGTTTGCATGGTTCTGTTATTTTCCCTCAAAGCAGTGATCAATATTAGAAACTGCTTAATAAAGCTCAGAAGTGAGGAATTACAGCTTTGACCTCCAGCTGCTTCCACGTTCATTTCCTCCAGAAGATTCTGTCTGTGACCAAACTACAGTCTGGACAAAAATGATTAAATTCATTCTTCACATCTTTTTTTCATCAGTCTGGTGTGAGCCAGGCAGAGCTGAGTGTTATTCCTAAAATGAGCTGTCAGCTTTCACAGTAAATTCATCCATCTGTCTATTTGTTACATCTTCTCCGTGGCTGGGTCTTGGAGGTACCTGGTGGGGAAACCCAGACACCCMTTTCCACAGCAACAGCAAGACACCAAGTGATATTTGAGTGAAAGTACAGATATTTTGGTAAAAGTTGGTCATCTCTAACAATATAACTTGAGTAAAAGTCTTAAGGTGTCTGACATTTACTGTACTTGAGTATCAGAAATCTAAGTTCTGCTGTAAAATAAGTATTAAAAGTAAAAGTGAGGGGTTAGAATTTCCATAATGACATWTATTGGGACGTTTCCTCCCCAAAACAACTTTTTCTGAAGGCCATAATGACTGTGATTTATAATAAAATGTTCATGTTGAGAAGATTTGCTGCACTAGTCCAGTGGTTCCCTAAGTTGGGGTCGGGACCCCACTGTGGGTCCTGAAACATCAAGGTGGGATCTTGAAAGTATTTTTAGAATTGCATTTTAAAATCACTCCTAACAATTATTTTTCCTTTAGTTGTAGTTATGTGCTTACAAATGGATGAAATTAGCATTATGTAAATTCAATATTAAAATAAAAATGTATTTGGTTGAAAATTAACATCAAACTGCTGTGTTTGCTGTTAAAAACTTTAACATTAAATGCTAGAATAAAAACACAGTAAAAAGATAAAAATCAGTTTACAGTGTACCGAAATAGCGTTGAACAAGCTGAACAAAACAAGCCAAAATGAAATGGGAATAATGAGACTATTTTTAAAACGTGAAGAGTTGGCTGAAAAATAATTACTATATAATAACCAAAATTTCTACTTAAAGTATTTGTATTTTGTTACTTGACACCTCTGCTCTTGATTGATATTTCATGACCACTGATGAGGGCTGGAATGTTGACAGACTGATAAATCAACTGGTTAGGTTAGGTTACAACAAGCTGCAAACATTTCCTCCTTAGACATTTTTAGCCTTATAAGCCCCAAGAGGTTTCTTTGAAACTTGTGCTCAAAATATCATGCTCAAATGTAATATAAACTTTTTCAAAATACCTTGAAAAATGATGGAAACTATAAACCTAATAGTAGAAAATAGAAAAAGTTCTATTCTGCCCTCAGTACAGAGATAGTGAAGCAACTTAATATCAAAAAATGTTTCTAATCTTCAAAATATTTGTTACAATCATAAAACAAAAAAGTTTTTTTTTAATTAAGTGGAACTGACTCATCTTTTCCTCTGGCAGTTTTTACAGTAAACTGATTCTGTTAYGAAACTAAACTGAGTGAGCTGCAGCACCATCTTGTGGCTGAAGGCTGTAATGCCTTAAATAATAATTCTGCTCCACATGATTAAACAGTCATATTCAACTATAACCGGTCTTACAAAAAGAAACCACAAAAGCTGGCAGTAGAGGCTAATATTTATTATGTACAATTAATCCATAGTAAAGTCCAGATAATACTGTGACCAAGTCAGAGTATGAATACTGACTCCTTCCCTTTTCAGCTGTCATCAGACGGTTTGGATTTAACTAGAATGTCTCTAATCATCAGTGTATCTGAGGCACACAGGGAAAACATGAAGAAAACAGAGTTAAAAAAACAATAATAAATCAAATAATGTGGTATTTATAGAAACTGTGATACAGCCCATCAGTGGTGTTTAAAGTGTGTGATTCTTGGTTTAAAAAAAACGTGTTTGGTGATGTTTACTGTAAACAAAGACAAGAGTTGTCTGATGAAATCCTCTGCTGAAGAGGACGGATGTGTCTCTGGAGACGTGTGTGTGGACGGTGTGTTAAAAGGCTTCAGGTAACGGTGGTTGTGGTTTTTTTTTTATTGAAGCAGCTGTGTATTCAACTGTATTTGGTCACAATTGATATTTTACAAATTATATACGTGCGTACTGCTGTGTACTTTAGTCAGCAGTGTGTAGTGTAAGCATGTTTTAAAGTTTCATGTCCAAGCATTGTGTGTGTGTGTAAACTCATACGCAAGTCATTGATCTTCTGTACAGTAAAATGTTGCAGTTCTGCCTGTTAAACAGTAATTACAGTGTGAATACAGACTGGCGTGTGTGTGTGTTTGTGTGTGTGGTGGTGGGGGACTGTATCCTGAAACTGTGGAGCTTCGTGGGGCTCAGTTCCAGATCTTCAGGAAGCTGTCCCAGGATCCGGTGCACGCCGCCATGCCGTCGTCTGTCACGCCCAGGCAGCTCACGCGATTGTCGTGGCCAGCCAGGACTCCTGGAGGAACGGACGCAGAAAAAAACAAAACAAAAAAAGGAGCTCTTGTTACGATGGACTGTCAGGTTCTGATCAGATTCACACAAACCAAAATCTTCTACTGCTCATTTTAAAACCTCGCTTTGTCGTCACTTTACGCCAGGGGTCTGCAACCTTTACGGTCAAAAGAGCCATTTCTGCTCCTTGTCTCACTAATAAGTGTCCAGAGCCACAAAACAAGCTACAACTAGGATTATGAACTGGTGGTCCATGGGCCTGTAGGGGTCACCTCAAGTGAAGAAACAAGATTTACTGCCTCGAAGCAGGCCTCGGACAGGCCTGACGAGAGG